CTCTCCTTTTGGGTGTTGTGGTCTACAAAAGAGGCATTGAGTGGCAAACATGTTCAGTCCATAGTCTGCTTTCAACATGCATCTCCCCTCCTGGGAGGATCCTCCCAACACCCTTTATTTGGTGCTCCCTTCTCTATCTGAGCTGCCCTTTCCCCTAAAATGCCCGGCTGGCCTCTAAGCCATGGAGTAGTCCTTCTAGGAGTAATTTCTAAGTGCGGAGCCAGAAGTAATCCTTGAGCATCACAGGGTGTGCCCCCCCCTTAAGAAAATCCCATTCAGTTAATCTCCCCCCCCCCACACACACCTAGCCTCTCTCCCCTCATGCTTCAGTCTGATGTTCTACTACCCGGCTGTATCCTTGGATGGGTGTAATCCTTTTTAGAATCTTTGATCTTTCATTAATAAAGCAGGAATAATACCTCTCTCTCTCTCTCTCTCTCTCTCTCTCTCTCTCTCTCTCTCTCTCTTTCTCTCTGATGGGACTTCAGCTTCAGGTATATGATGTCCCAAACTGGGTAGAGTTGAAGATGACCTTTGCCTTTGAGCCTCAGAAGCAGAATCTAAAACGTAAGAATAAAAATAAAACCCACTATTTAAGTTGGCAGATGTACTACATCTGGGTTGAGACAGGAAGGAAGGGGTCCCCAGTCCTCTCAAGACCATCACTGCCCTTGGAGAATTGGATGGGGTGGGGCGGTGGCTGCAGGGAAGTCCTTTCCCAAACATCAGTCATCCTGGTCTTCCACAGTCCATAGCTGATTGCTCCAGAGGTATCATTGAATTTACCTCCTGACAGAGCTGAATCTCTTAACCTTTCCTATGTTGCTCCCACCCTAGAGTGAACCACCACGGTCACCCTACTTAGCACTACAGAATTGGCATACTCGGATGCCTCACCTCTGCTCTTCCTGCTCCAAGACATCCTTAGCCAACAGCAACAGTGACATTTAAATTGGAAAGCAAGGGCCAGAGAGATAGTACAGTGGGTAGGGCTCTTACCTTGTATGTGACTGGGTTTGACCCTTGGCATCCATCTGCTCCACTGAGCCCCTCCAGGAGTAAGTCCTGAACATTGAGCAGTGTAGCCCCCCAAAACAAAAACAAAAGTGGAAAGCAGGGGCCATATAGCACCATGAGTAGAGTACGTGTCTTGTATGCGACAGACCGAGGTTCAATCCCCAGCACCACAGCACCCCAGCACCAGCACCACAAGGTTCAATCCCCAGCACCACAACTCTGAGCATTACCAGTTGTGATCCTTGAGCACAGAACCATTCCAGAAATAAGCTCTGAGCATCACCACATATGGCCCCAAACCCAAACCAATCTAACAACTCAAAAATGTGGAAGCAAGGCCAGAGAGCTAACATAACTGGAGGCCTAGGTTTAAGGCTTCCATCCTTCCATCCTCCAATCCTTGGTCACCAAAAGTTCCCAGTCCTCCAAGCACAGAGCTGGCTGGGAGTAGTGTCTGAGCACCAGTGGATATGACTAGCCCCCACAAAGAAAGGAGTGTTAAATAGGCATTGTTATTGATCTCCAAATTCACTTGCCAGCTCTGTAGCTCGAAACTGAGGCCTGTATGATCTGTCTCTACCAGCCTCAGCAGTCACCAGTAGTCCCACTCCTTCCTTTTCTTTTCTTTTCTTTTTTTATTTTTTTGCTTTTTGGGTCACACCCGGCGATGCACGGGGGTTACTCCTGGCTCTGTACTCAGAAATTACCCCTGGCGGTGCTCAGGGGACCATGTGGGATGCTGGGAATTGAACATGGGTTGGCGGCATGCAAGGCAAACACTACCCACTATGCTATTTTTCCAGCCCCCCACTCCTTCCTTTCTTCGAGTCAAAATCTAAGCTTGGTTCTTTGGCTTCAGAGAGAACCAGCATCTCTATCTACTCCCTCACCTGTAGGCTGGTCCACTCTCCCTGTAGGCTGCACCCACAGGCCCTCGCCTCCAGAGGCCTGCTCCTTGAGAAGACTTTTTCTAAGTACAGGTGCCCTGATCACGCTGTTCTATCACTGCTGTCTTTCCTTCATAAAACTTATTACTGCATGAAAGTAGATTGTGTATGTTTGTAGAGGCCTCAACAATATCTGCTGGTTACAGCAGAAATTCTTGGCCACATTCCTTTTCGCAGTGTAACTCATTGGTTTCAAGGCAACACTGTCGTAAAGATCTAACTGCCAACTGACGGTTGGTTTCAATGAAGCCAGCACTCGGTCCTTCTGTGGCCATGCCATCCCCCCACCACACTGTCAAAACCACAAGATTTCCCGAGCGAATGGAAAAGGGCCAATTAGCAGTTCACAATCTGAGAGTATTAGCGATCAAAAATTTATGCTCAATGGTTTGCTCTCTTCTGCCATAATCACATAATAATTCGAAGGTGGAGGCAAAATTAAAATCAAACCCCTCTAGCTCCCCCTGACAAAATAATGACTCTGTGGCTTCTGAGAAGTATAAAATTCCAACTTCCAGGATGCAGCTCAGGGGCTGAGCTTTGTATCAGTTTATCAAGGTCTTTGGAACAATGGCTTGTGCCTGGGACATTGTCACTGCCCACAGGTAGATGTTACAATATTCTATGGGAAATTTGGGTTCGATGCATCGTCTCTGAAGCCTCTTTCAAAATAAGAAACCAAATCTTGGGGCAAATCATCGCATCATCTACCAGTTTAATAAAGCCATCCATCAAGTCACTGCCTGGAAGGAACCGCAACCAAGCTGTCAAACCACAGCATCAACCTGTTATTTTTATCTCATGGCAAAATTGCCTTCCAACCAACCTCAGCTGGTAAAATGCTTGTGATAAAGAGCGTATGGCCCAATTTCTGGAACCCTCTTATGATCAACTTCTGGAACCCTCTTCAACATGGCTACATTTATTTACACTTTAATTCATTTCAATTGTACCCCAAACCCATAAATATGCCCTTGTAGTGCCCCCAAAGTGTTCCTCCTCTTCTCTCGTGCCTTGTGGATCCTCACAGGGCTGAGAGCTCTCTTTGTCCTATTGATCAAGGCTTCGCAAGTTCCTAGAGGCACTTTCAATGAACAGCGTTTGAATGGTGAGTGAATCAAGAGTCAAGTTCTCAGCTTCTCTTTGGGGAGGATCAGAACGGAATTAAGGTCCGGGGAGGTGCAGAACTGGGGAAACGACTTAGCTTCCACGCTTGCTCCTTGGTTAGGGCAAGGGAAGATGGTCTTACCACACTGTGGGGATCTCATGGTGCAGGGCACACCATATGCCCCCTCTTGAGGTTTCTAGGAGAGTAAGGGTGTGCTTGCAGACCTGTTGGTTGACTGCACAGTCTCCCAGCCTGCTCTACCCCTGGAACAGTAGAACTGTTTTCCAAATCGGCAGTCTAGAAGAGCCAGGGGGCCTGGGGAACCTGACACCATCTGATGCAGCTACCCGGCTCAGTTTCACTTTGGAAGTCACTGGAAATATTGTGTCTTTTAGTAAACCAGACACAGATTTTTCTTTTTTCTTCTTGAGGAGAAAGAAAACTGTGCCTGAATTTTACAGTACAATTGCTTGGGCCAGTGTCATGGGGGAGAATTAACGAAGAGCACTGGGTCTGGTGGGCTCGGTGGGGGACTGGGGCAGAGAGCAACCGGTTCTGGCTGCTCTATCCCAGTTAGGATCTCTCTACTGCCTCTGGGGTCCGAGGGACTCTGGATTGTTCCTCTCAGTCTCTCACAGGTCTTTGTTCCCTGTCCTGCGGGAGTGAGGGGGGAACCCCAAGGCAAAGGTCAGGAGGAAGGTCTGGGCCCTAGTGCATGATTCTAGCCCCATCTGCCATCAGCAGCCTATCCTCCACCACCCTGTCTGGAAATCATTATGGTAATTATCCTGGGCTATCCTCACCCAACTCTGTAACCAGCCTAGGTAACTAACTGCCTTGGAGCATAATTACAGATGTTTACAATCACATCAGAGTAAATGATGGCTTCCTCTCCTCCGTGAGCACACCAGTATTAGGGACCTATGGAGGGCCCTATTAGTCCCTATTAGGTCCCTATAATTAGTCAATTCCCAGCAGGAAGGGGATGGTAAAGACTCCATCCCACGGCTCCCCACCGGGCAGGGTCAGGCGGTCAAAGCAAATTGGCGGTCTTGCAAATGTAGAGTCCTACTTACCCAGGGTCAGGCGGGACTGTGTTGGGCTTTAGCAGGGGGCCTGCCAACGCCCATGAAGGGTCTGTAAACTGGATTAGTCGCCCACTCGACATGACAGGGCTGGTGACTGGGCCACAAACCATGGATTGGGCAGAGGGCGCTCACCGTTAAAGGCCAGACCACAGATCCCTTCCTTATCATCTCTTTGCACCGGCTTCCTCTTCCCGCCCTCACCCAGCTCGGGTCCCCTCCCACGGCCCCCAGTCCCCACTGACACTGCAGTCGCCTGCTCCTCCGCCCGTTTTCCGGTGGGGTGGGTGTTATCTCTCCCCCAGGGCGGGGAGCTGGGGTGTAGGCACCGGAGGATGGGGAGTACGCCACCCCAGGCACCAGTTTCTCACCGACCCCAGCCCAGCCCAGCCCAGCCCAGCCCCGCCGGCTGCACACTCCCGCACGCACCAAGGGCTGCGGGGGTTAAAAGCAGCGCGGACTTGCCCCGCACTTTCCTGCACCTCTGTGCAAAGGCGTGCACCTCGCTGGGGTCACACGGATACAGTCCGCAGTCAGGCAGCACGCAGGGTCTTGCACAGGCGCGGACTCACTCGCGTGCGCGCGCGCGCGCGAATGCACACACACACACGCACCCAGACACGCACACACACGCACACAGACCACCCCAGCGTGCGCCCTCCCGCACGCACGCACACACTCACACCCAGCCCCGTGGGCCCCTCGGGGCCTGACCGCCCGCCGCCCTGCCCGGCCGGCTCGCTGGGCGGCGCGCGCTCCCCGGCACGCCGCCTCCCGCGCGGTTCCACGCCCCTGGCCGCGGCCGGGCCGAGCAGCGCGGCGGGCGGGAGCGGGCGGGGGCGGCGGCGGCGGCGGCGGCCGGCGCGGAGGAGGCGGAGCGGGGAGCCGGCAGCCGGCGGGCCGCGCTCCTCCTGCCAGCCGGCCCCGGATTTTCCAGGCTGGGCGCTGACGTCGCGGGTCTCCCCGCGGCCGCCGCGGACCATGGGCGACAAAGGGACGCGGTGAGTGCGGGCGGCGCCCGGCCGGTGCGCGCGGGGGCGACTTGGCCGGGCGGCGGGTGGGGACCGGAGGGAGCGTCCTGGCCCCGCCGCCCGGGGCCCGGGAGGCCGGGACCCGCGCCGCCGACACAGTGACATACGCGCGCGCGCGCGCACACACACACACACACACACACACACACACATACACACAGACGCACGCACACACATACACACACGCGCGCACACACGCGCGCACACACGCACGCACGGTGCCCGCTGACAGCCGCACTGACCCGCGGCCGCAGTCACCCCCGGGGCGGTGGCACACAATGGCACGACAGGGAACACGCACCCGCAGGCGCGCTCCTCACCCGTCGCAGCCCGGCACACTGGTGCACGTTCGACACATCGTGCTGTCAGGTGGGCCACATCAGGCGGGCCACATCACGTCCCGCCCGACACATGTCCCTGACCCACCCGCGGGCAGCACACACAGTCCAAGACCTCTCAGGCACAAACATGTCGTCACCCTCGGTGCCACCAGCACTTGTGCAGGCCTTCTTCATCAACACCGGACCACAGGGCGAACCCCCAAGACACACATCAGACCTGCACCCCCTGAACCCAGAGCTGCTAAATTACTGCAGCATGCAGGTGAGGTGTGAGCACATATACGCGTGTCCCCCCACACCCCACGTATAGTACCACACACTCAGTCCTATCCACACACAACCACACGTACACACACAACCCGCATACAACACCACACATTCAATCCCAGCCAAACATATGACCACACATACACTTCACATACCACACACACACCACACCCATGTACACCGAACACATCACACAGCCCAACCCACACATAACTCACATGCAATGCCACACACTCAACTCCAACCACACAACCACATATATACAAACAACCCACATACAACACTACACATTCAGTCCCAGCCATACATACCACACATATACACATCACACACATAATACACACATGCACATCCAACCCACTCACATAATACCACACATACATGCACCTCACCACACACATACACACACCACACACCACCTGACCACACACATACACAATACAAATACCCACATCCATACTCACCACATGCATATACACAGTCCCACACACAACACACACAACCACACACGCATATGTACACACCCACATCCATACTCCACATATCCACACATATAACCACACACACAGACACCCCACATCAACAGATCACATACCCACATCACCCCCCAACATATACACACACACGTGTACGTGCACACACACACACACACACACACACACATACTATCATAGCCTGGAAAAACATCCTATCCTCTGTTTCCGGTCCCTCTGACCTCCTCAAGCCTGGCATGGTGGCTGGCATCTGTTTTGAGCTGGAGTGGGAACTGAGAACCAGATGCCGCCTTGACTGAGAAATGGGGAAACCCTCGAGGAGGAAGGAGGAGGGGTCTGCAGCTCCAGACAGGCCTGCTCAGAGCTCAGCAGAGTCCCTACTCCTGCCCCTGGCTCTTCTCATTCCCTCAGCTTCTGGGGGAAGCCTGTCCCTCCTCTCCTCCTCTGATCCCTTCTGCAAGGCCCTCTAATGCTCCTTCCTTTACCTTCTATCCTCGCGCTGCACTCCTCCCTCCTTCGTCCTCTCCCCCAGCCCCCCATAGGTATGTCTGGAGCACACTGCATGCTGGGCAGAGTGTGGGCTTATGGTCCTTCTGTCGACGTGGCTTCTGTGGTCAACATGTTGTTTCCGCCCTCTGTCCCCAGTGGCTGTGGCCGCGCCAGGGAAGGGTTCTTGTGGGGTTCCAGGTTCCAGGAGAAGAGTTGTTGGAAGTGCTGAGGTTCTTTGTGTTTTGCGACCTTTCTCCCTAGCCTTGCCCCTGCGTGGACAGTGCTTCCTGCTTCGGAAGGGGGCTGGAGCATCCACCTGACCTGCTGAGAGCCCGGAGGGGTCAGAGGCCGGGTGGCAGATGCAGCTCACGTGGGCTGTTCTCTGGGGTTCATGCTGGCTCAGAGTAGGTCCTGGGGTTCTGGACTTGTGATGGTGTTGGTCGAGGGGATAGGCGGATGTCCACTCCCTGGCATGGACGCAGATGGGGGACACTGCAGGAGCAGGAGTATCTGCGCCCACCTTGTGGCTAGTCCCCATGTCGTCTGCGGGTCAGTGCTATGACCCGGCCTCTGTCCTTGTCAGGAGGACATGTGACTCCTCCATGTCCATGGGCCTTAAAGCCAGATTCTCCTGACTGCACATCTGGGGCAGCTCTCTCCGCTTCTCTATGGGCAGTGACTCAGCCCCACCTGGGCCCTTGGGGGGAAGGGGCCTGGCCCCCTTGGGTAGAGCCCTTGTCTCTCCCTTTCCTCCTTCTAAGGCTGAAGAGGGTGGGAGGCATTGGGCAATATTTTTTTTTTACTCCTTTGGGTCTTTGATTTTGCATCTATTCATTGACTCTCCCACTGTTGGCATTTTTGAGGGTTCGCCTTTAGTCTGTGGCATTTCTGGGGTAGAGGAGAAGGTACTACATGAAGGCCAGATCCCTGGCCTGGCTGAGCTCGCCTGGCGACAGCCCCCCTCCTCTCTCTCAGTCTCCCTCAGGACCCCTGAGGACTGCTCTTCAATCTGGACAGGTTGCTGAGTACTTTAGCAGAGAAGTGCCAAATCAATAGCGTGCTGGCCTTGTCTTGCTCTGTAAAGCGGAGGCTTTATCTCTGAATTCCAAAAGGAAGCTGATTTAATATCCCTCAGGAGTAGGAGCAGTGCACAGTCACTGCTGGGCTTGAATTTGCACTCCCCCCACCCCCCAAAAGTGACAAGCCCTCTTCTTGCCATCAGAGTCAGGGGAAACAGAGATGAGACACACCCCTAGCCAGAGTGATAGTCCAGCGGGTAAGCCTCACATGCTGCCGCCCCAGGTTTGAGCCCACAATCAAATATGGTCCCCTGAGCCCCACTGGGAATGATCCTTGAGCACAGAGCCAGGAGTAAATGCTGAGCACAGCTGGGTGGGGCCCACAGCAGCAGCAACAACAACAACAAAACACACACAAAAATAAAAGCTGGCTCAGACGAACTTGAGTCGGGGGCTTTGCTCTGATTGGAACTTCCATTCAACCAGTGCTTCTTGGGCTGGACCTCAGGGGTGAAATGCAGCCTCTGTCCTCCCAGGACTGAGAACCCATCAGGTGACTCGAACGCAGGGTGACACGTGCAACAAGAGGCCCAAAGAGATTCTCCAAGGGGAGTCATGGCAAAGAAAGGGAAGGAGTTGGCCTCGGAGCCGCTGACCTTCATGGAGGCCACTGAGGGCAAGAGAGTGGACTTGAGAGGGGTGGAGTCTCTGGCCTCTGGTGCAGGGGTGCAGCGGCGGAGGGTGGAATGTGGCATCTGTCAGTGGGGCTGGGATGACGGCAGAGCCTGTGCAGAAGTAAACAAGACCAGGCAGCAGCACCCTGGAATGAGCTGCCCCAGAGGCTCAGCTCCCGAAGAGGTGGCGATTCGGGGGGAAAGGAGGGGAGCTGACAGCAGGAGCCGGTTTGTTTCAGAGCCAGCCCTTTGGCCGGGGGCCTGGACGCCGTGCTGGGGACCAGAGAGGAGGCCAGATAGGGGCAGAGGCGGAGAGCAGTCAGGTGGCTTGGGAGAGGAAGGACTGAGGAGGAATCAGGAGGTGGATGTCTGCCCCATGGTGGGATGGGCTTTTTTTTGGGGGGGGGGGTAACACCCGGCAATGCACAGGGTTACTCCTGACTCATGCATTCAGGAATTACTCCTGGCCGTGCTCCGGAGACCATATGGGATGCTGGGAATCGAACATGGGTGGGCCACGTGCAAGGCCAACCAACGTCCTACCTGCTGTGCTATTGCTCCAGCCCCGGGCCTTTCCCTTCCATGGATGGGGGATGCGAGGCGGAGACATGAAGGAATTTGTGTCTTACCAGCCCAGCCAAGAAGCCCACACCCCTGCTCCGAGGCTCCACACGCACCATCCAAGAAGCAGGGGGGCTGGGCTGGCTCCCGGGGGCCTCTCCCACCTCCCTGTTGGCCCCATCCTGAGCTTGCCTTTTGGGCCTTATTTCTGTGGACCCACGGGCTGCATGAAAGCTAGGCGGGAGATTCCAGGTGGGACTCGAAGGGCCGATGCTCTGGCTTTCCTTTGCTCCCTAGAGGATGCGGGAGGGAGCCTCGGGGAGGTCCTGCTCACCAGCTTTGTGCAGGCCGTGGTGTTGTCTGCCTGGGTCTTACGCGCTATGAGACCCAGCATGATTGGAACAGAAGGAAGACCCGTGGCTTTGGCCAGGGCTGCTGGGTTGAGTCTACAGTTGGGAATCGAGGCCAGTGGAAGGAGGCGTCTGTCGGATGGATGGGATGGAGGTGGGAGGCAGGGACGGGAAAGCCTTAGCTTAGTAGCTTGGGGATAGCCTGGCTCATGAGAGGGTATGCAGTCAGAGAAGAGAAGCTTGGACAGCTGGGGCCTGGGAGGAGCATCCAGACCCAAGAGGGGGAATGCTGAGGGGAGGCTCTGATCTGGAGACCAGCACAAGGATGGGGGGGGTGAGGGGGGACAAGCTGGGATGAGACCCCTGGGGTTTAGCCAGAAGGTAGCGGCTGAGACCGGGTCAGAGGGCTTTGGCTGGAGTAGTAAGAACACAGCCAGGTGAATGGGGGAGAGGAACCCCACCTTTCTCTATGCCTAGAACTTGGGGTGAACCTCTTAGAGGAAGGGAGTCAGATCCTGCTTGGCGGTGGTGGAGTCTGTGATGTTGGGATGTAGGGGTTCAGACTCCGCTGAGGGGTGGGAGGGAGGCTGCAGGTGTGTGAGCTGGTCCTAGGTCAGATATACCTGTGCGGGATCCTGCAGGAAGGATCAGTTCTTTCACGCCGCGGGTGGGAAGGCTTCCTGGAGGAGGTGCCCCCTGAGCTGAGTCCTGGGGCAGAAAGAGGCAGTGCCAAGGTGTGGAGAGTGGATTAGAAGTTCGAGGGGTCGCCCTTGCC